CAATTTACAGAACTGATCATAAAGCATAAAGAACCATCATTGTCATTAACTCAGAATTCCCTAACTTAGTAAAATTACTAACTTTTGGAAGAAACAATAAGGAACCCATATAAATTCCAATTCCATTATGTAAACTATTTCTATTGTCACTCAGCATATGTGACAGAACTACCATTCTAAAAGAAATGAAATACATTTCATTGGTGGGATGTCATTTTTTCAATTTAATTAAATCCTTCACTTATCAATTTATATAAATTTGAGTTAATCTTGAATTTCAGTTACTCAATAGTTATTTGAAGAAACAACTTGCTAACGTTCAAATTAAAATAGGTAATCAAGATTTTATATTAAAATTCATTGAATTATACCAATTTCAATGTTTTCAGTAAAAAAGTAAATTGAAATCTTTAGTCACATATGGGATTTAGGTACTAATTCACTTTGGCGAATCACTACAAACTAAAAATGCAATTAAAGTAAATTAAGTTAGGTTTTATTAATATAATAATTACTTTATTGATTGGCATACATCTATATTATAATAATATTAGCCATTTGCTACAGTAATACATAATAAATTGGGTAATTAGTAGTCACACACATTTAACTTGCCTCTTGAGATGAACAGCTTGGGAAGAAAGGGAACTAAAAGTGAAACAGAAAATTGTATGACATTTAAAGCTATAGAATTTTGTGGAATATTTTGTCTTTATTACAACTAGAAAACTCCAAACAAAATGGAGAAAACATAAGAAAAGGTCAACATTTAAGTAAAATTGTACTAAAAGCAGTCTATTTATCATATTGTTTTTAACTTACCAGATTGATTTGGAGCACACATAGACTATCTATAAGCAAAACTAAAATGAATTATTATACATATTCATATACTTCCAATGTAATGGAACCAGTGTAAAAATTGAGTTATAAACAGAAGATGTCATTTTTACATAATTTTAGAAGAATCTTTAATGAGATATACCTACACACACACTCACACACACATATTCAAATATACTATTTGGTATATTTTAGTTTAAACCATATACTATGTATTTGTAAGGAAATACATTATTTTGCATACTTCTTAACGTTATGCAAGTTACTTAATCTCTTGACCTGTTTATCTTTATTTCTAAAATTGGTGGTAATCATTTCTACCTTATTGGGTTGTTGTTTAGATTAAGTGGGTTACTGCCCACAAATCTGTCTGAACACCTATCCTAACCCTAGGCCTAACTCTTTTTTATTTAGAAAAGCTCACCATATCCATTTGTCAATATTTTCAGCTATAAGGAAAATAGTTTTAAAAACATGAAAATGTAAATGTACTCAAGATTAACTGCTATTAAACAGTTCTCAACAGGCAGAAAATACAGACTTTCCTTTCACAGAAAATGTTAAATCTATAATAGCAGCATCATTTATATACAGAAAAAAGCTGGTTTTGATGTCTGGCTCCTAGCACTTCATGCAGGCTATTCTTCTTTCTCTCTCTCTCTTTTTTTTAAATAAACAGAAATTGATCCTACCTTTTGAATTAAAAAAAGAAAAGAATTAATCTTAACTAAATTAGTACTTTTCTCTAAGTTTTCTGTACTAATTAGCATACTTTCTTCTATTTGAATGTAACTTATTATTACATAATGGCAAATCATAATGCATATCTGCTTATCTGTATGCCTATGTCAGCAAAACAGAGTTTTATAAATAACAGGAAATTGTAGTATGCTAATCAGCAGATTTAGGTTTACCTTTACAATTATAAAAATGATGTATTCTTTCATATCCTAAAAATCTAAGAACTCTAATTACTTTTATATATGTGAAAGTATATTTCTTGGCCGGGCGCGGTGGCTCAAGCCTGTAATCCCAGCACTTTGGGAGGCCGAGACGGGCGGATCACGATGTCAGGAGATCGAGACCATCCTGGCTGACACGGTGAAACCCCGTCTCTACTAAAAAATACAAAAAACTAGCCGGGCGAGGTGGCGGGCGCCTGTAGTCCCAGCTACCCCGGAGGCTGAGGCAGGAGAATGGCGTGAACCCGGGAGGCGGAGCTTGCAGTGAGCTGAGATCCGGCCACTGCACTCCAGCCTGGGCGGCAGAGCGAGACTCCGTCTCAAAAAAAAAAAAAAAAAAAAAAAAAAAAAAGAAAGTATATTTCTTATACTAATAATACGCAAGCCATTTCATTAAGTTGTCATGAAAAGATAAACCTGTAATTTTTATCTCAGAGACTGAAATAGGCACTTTTTACTTTATGTATTTCTGAGATAGCAAATAAATATGAGATTATATTAATGTTACACACAGATTTTAGGATTTCTTGGGTTTGTGTTTTTTATTTTTATGTTTATTTATTTATTTATTTTGAGGTGGAGTTTCGCTCTGTCGCCCAGGCTGGAGTGCAGTGGCATGATCTCCGCTCACTGCAAGCTCCACCTCCCAGGTTCACGCCATTTTCCTGCCTCAGCCTCCCGAGTAGCTGGGACTACAGGCGCCTACCACCACGCCCGGCTAGTTTTTTGTATTTTTAGTAGAGACGGGGTTTCACCGTGTTAGCCAGGATGGTCTCGATCTCCTGACCCTGTGATCCGCCCAGGTTGGCCTCCCAAAGAGCTGGGAATAAAGGCGTGAGCCACTGCGCCCGGCCTGGGTTTTAATTTGGATTTAAGTCTCCTGTAAGGGTGACATTTTCTTTAGGCAGTGTAGCTCTGTCAGGCTACTTAGAATGACATGTTATGAGTAAGACAGACATTATTATTAAACAAATTTTAATTTCTGCAACAGAGATAACCATGATTTGGACAATAATTTCTTAGGGCAAAAACAGTTACGTATTGATGTAACTGCATCTTTAACTAATAGCTGATTTCTTAAACTTAAGAATTCTGGCTTGTAATAAAGTTCTAAAAGTGAATTTTATGTAACCTTGTAACTATTATGTTAGTCTAGATTAATAGGCTTCAGCATTTACAAAATGAATCTATTCTTATAAAATATGCAGAATATTTCTGTGGCCCTTCATAAAACATCCATCCCTTACTTCTTTTCCACGGCATTCAAGGTTCAGAGTGTATTTGTGGACTGCTGTTTTTAAAATGAACTCTACAGAGTAGGCAGAGGATCCATACTTTAGGACAGCTGTAACACACAAGGATCCTGCTAGAAGAGTATGAGTTAGGACCAGGTATATTATAGATAGGAACAGGTGTGCTCAATGACAAATCCGTTAAAAGAAATTGGAGGAGTCTTGATTCAGTGAATTGGTCAGGAGTCATAGAATTTGATTTTAAATAGTTTATTTCAAGCATATTTTCACTGTTCTTTAGGTGTTTGAACTTAACTTTTTTGGGGGCTTTTTTCTTATAAACATAAATTAATATTAATAATTAGCTACCATTAAAGAAGAGAAATATATAAAGGTTATTAGTCTTCGCTGAATTGTGCCACTGGCATTACTGGGCAGTCTCACAATAAATTTCAAGGGACTATGTAAATCTGTATTAACTAATTATCTTCAGTAGGAACAAAGGACCAGGGAGTCAATCTGAACTGTACAATTATTAAACATCTCTGCTAGCATATATGAATAGGAAAGACAACACATAATATAACAAGGGTCAGAAATAACATTTGTGAATTTTCTATATTCTTTAAGATGAAGAATGAGACCAGCAGAAAAGAAAACACATCTGGGGGCAAACAGAATCAATGACCTTCATTAGCTTAAATTTCCAAATGGCCTCAGATAAAAATCTCTGAGCTACTAAAACAAACCACGAAAACAACAAAACCAAAACTTGAACATTTACTCAAGAATTTGAGGCAAACATTTGGTCATAGACTTAAGAGTACATTTAAATCGAAAAAAAAATAGTTTTTATAATACAGAAATGTTAATAATATAGAAATATCTAGGAACTAGCATTAGAGTAAACTTATTAAATATTTTCTTTCTTAATCTAGAAGATGGAGAATAATGTGCTATCTCCAGTTTACAATTAACAGTAACATCTTCTCTTTGAAGATGAAAAGACAACTCTTTCAACCAGTAGAAATAAATCACTAGAGACTTTCATAAAGCCATGCCAGATAATTTTCAGTTCCTTGCAACAAGTGTGATTTTGTGTCAAGAATTATAAATATAAGTCCACCTCTCTATTGCCACCTGCCACCTCAACCTTGTGTGGGCTGCAAGTATAGAACTAAGACTCAGCTACTTTTTGAGACTCTGAAGCAGGAGTTTTTAAGGTGAGGTTGGGGATATAATTCCATGGACTGATTTTCAGGGGTCAGTGATCACTAGAATATTGTGTACAGAACTGTATGTGCCTCTTCATGAAGCCATTTGCTTTCATCAGATTCTCAAAGTGGCTTAAAACCCAAAAAAGGTTATGGGTGAATACGCTAAGATATCCATACCCCATCTGGTCACTGTAGAATCACATCCAGAATTGATCTCAGACATATATCACAACAAGATAAAACTGAGGCAGTAGGGGAAAGAATATCTGCTGGTGGCTTAGGAATATGAGGCTACAGAACAAAACAGGAGTGGAGAGAGACATCCTTTAGAGTGACAAATGGGAAGAAATGGCAAATTCAATTGGCACCTGGGTGAAGGACCTATTGGCTCTTAAGAGTGTTGGAGACATATGTAAATCAATGAGCCTGTCATCCTGTCCCACTTCCCAATTATAATATAGGCACTTAGATGTGAATAACTGATACTATTATTATTTCTTCTATATAAAAAGTTGCTCTTCATTACCTAGAAATTTGATGATATTCATTTATTGCCAGTAACATACACATTACTTTGGGGTCTTGTCTTCAATATTAGAAATGAGATAAAGTAACTTTTTAACATTCGTGTGATTGAGCATTGTTACAACCATTGGCACTCATTCATTTACTAGGAGACAGATTTTTGAATTCAGTAGCTTTGTGTTCATTTACAACAAATAGGAAAAACATATTTTAAAATTTACCTGCAAGGTTGTCGATTTCTTTCTCCTGTAGCAGACTGACTGCATCATCGTCTCCTTCCAGCATAAGTTCTGTCTCTGCATTCTGGTTCACTATTGCTTGACTTCTGAATGTTTTCTTTGACTTTACTACATCTTCTTCCGTGCCTAATCACAACGAAAATATAATAATTTAGGTTATTATGATTGTTTCTGCTTATAGTAGGTATTATAAATAATTGATTGCTTTATGATAATTATATGCTGCGTTTACATATTACTTTACAATTATAGAACATTGTAACCTTCTTTACCTTGTTTGGTTTCCTGTGAGAAACATGGGGTGTGAGGAGCTGTAATCACTGACCCTTATTTTAAAGATGAGGAAACTACATGCATTTTGGAGGAACCCAGCAATTGCTAATGTTAGAGAAAATAACTCTACCACGTCTTAGGATTGGAAGATCCATGTCTTAGGGCTCTAAGATCAGTGTATGTTGCGCAAAAGTCTGTACTTCACCCCAAATTTATTTTCTTAAAATCACACTATTTTACATAATCACACTTTGTCTAAATTAGCTAATCAATTGCTAATTAGCTAATTAGCAGATCATTTTTGAAAGTGGATGAGATAGGTATGCAGAAAACAAAAAACCATTCACATGTGAGGGGAAAAATGATTATCATTGGAAAGTTACAGGAAAGCGGAGTTAGAAATGATGGAGACATAAAAGCTTCTTCATAATATCTATTTCTTTAGCAATTAGTGAAATAAATACTGGTTTTTCTGAAATGATAGCCTTATTTTGCTATATATAACAACACAAAAAGCTGGCCGGGCGCAGTGGCTCACGCCTGTAATCCCAGCACTTTGGGAGGCCGAGGGGGGTGGATCACGAGGTCAGGAGATGGGGACCATCCTGACTAACACGGTGAAACCCTGTCTCTACTGAAAAGGCAAAAAATTAGTCAGGCGTGGCGGTGGGCCCCTGTAGTCCCAGCTACTTGGGAGGCTGAGGCAGAAGAAAGGCGTGAACCCGGGAGGCGGAGCTTGCAGTGAGCTGAGATCGCGCCACTGCGAGACTCCGTCTCAAAAAACAAACACACAAAAAGCCAAAACCAAAACACATGAAAATAAGCAGAAAAACTGAAATATTGTAAATATTGCAAGATTTGACCTGGCATTAATGTATAAGTTAGAAATGAATGCATCTGAATCCCTCAAGAATTTGACTGCTTAACAATTATTTTCATAGTTACATTCAGACACCTGCTTTGGCAGGTGACAATTAATATAAAATTATCTGAACTGAAAGCACCTTTATAAATGCATACACCACCCACACCCACACAAACACCACACACATGAAATACTTTTATATCACTTGAAGCTGAAATTCCATTTAGAAGAAAGCATTGTAATTTACTGTATTCTGTATTAGGATATAGTCTTCAAGGAGCAGCATTAACTAGGAAAACGTCTTCGTATCTCCTTTGGTGTGGTGGATATATTCCTGGAAATGGGAGTCTTATAAATCAGTCCTATACGGTGTCGTATTATATTTTTAGGGGACATTACGGTGTTGAAACATAGACAATGGCTCTCCAAATGATGTCATGCCTTTGGTCGAAAGTTTACAATACTTTTGGTCAATTCACCCAGGCCCATACCATAGAACTTCCAACAGTCCATTACTGCCTACTGATATTTGCTCAACCATTGTGCTGTTGTTGTTTGAGACAGGGTCTTATTCTGTCACCCAGGCTGGAGTACAGTGGCATGATCACAGCTCACTGCAGCATCGACCTCCCAAGCTCAAGCAATCATTCTACCTCAGCTTCCTGAGTAGGTGGGACCACAGACGCATACCACAATGCCTGGCTACTTTTGTTTTTGGTAGAGATGGGCTCTTACTATATTCTCAGGCTGGGCTTGAACTCCTGGGCTCAAGTGATCCTCCCACCTTGGCCTCCCAAAGTGCCAGGATTATATGCATAAGCCACTGTGCCCAGCCTCAACCATTTTCTTGCAACTACGTCTGGCTGTCATACAACTTGCACTGTAAAATAGTTAGCTTTTTTCCTTTTTCTCTTTGCATTTTGCATACTTCTTTTTCTCAGTGAATATAGGCCAATTCTGTTTGCTAAAATATGAAAAAATTGACTCCAAGGCCACCAGAGTAAAAACACATGTTGAGGAATATAGTCACATCACAATACCATTACAGAGTGTCACTGGCTGAGAGGTATAGTCTGTCATCCTAGCTCCTACTGGATAACCACATTTACAGCACATGGTTAATACATACCATAAATGTATAACGTAATAGATTGTTAAATATATATTTTGATAAATACTTCAGAGACAAATAGTATTACAAATCAATGCTACATTGGAGGGGAGGGGAATTAAATGGGTTCCATGTGTATTGTTCTTTCACTGGCCCACAGATAATTATTATTTCTGGAATAAAAGATTGGGGATAGATCACTGAATGCTTCAGAACCTTATCTTAATTCTATTTGATTTTTGGTGATATAAAGCCAGCAAAAGAGTAATCTTCTGAGGGTAGCTATCTTTATAACTTGTTTGCTTCCTGGGCAAACAGAAATACAGAGCTTGTATCATTTGAGAACAAAAGAGGCAAATCCAATGATTAATAATTCAGAAATCTCTCCTGAGGTCTTCTTAGCTGTATTTCTGGACTTTGCCTGAATACTATTAACTGAACATTTCTCTTACTGAGCTAATTGTCTCTTGCTCCTTCTCCTCCTCGTATTTTGGCCAACCATGTACTTTAGCAGAAACCTAGGAATTCATCCTGCATGGTGACTGCCACGGCCCTAGTTCAGGCCATCACTGTTTTTGGTCTAGAGGGTGTCAACAGTTGCCCTACTCACACCACCTTCCATACTTTTGTCAGAGTGATTTTTATAAAACACAAATAAGTTAAGGATATTTTCCTATTAAAATTATTCATTAACTCCTCCCAATCAAGTATACCTAAAGCAAGGCTTAGACTGGAGGATAAAATCCAAACTTCTTAGCATGGCTTACCAAGGCCTTTTATCCTCTCATTACCAGTTCTGTGTTTTCACCACACCCTCCTCAGCAATATTGGACCACTTATAGCTTCCAAAATATGTCATGCCTTCACATACCTCTTTACCCATGCTAATGTTATTCCCTCTGCAGGGTATGTTACTACCTTTCCTCCTTGGCCTGGCTAATTGCTACTTGCCCTTCAAAACTCACTTGCTTCAGCTGTCTTTCCTAACAAACCCTACCGCACATTCACAGCTTACACACAATTCAACTGCACTGTATAGGTGTTACCTATTATGTGTCTGTCCTGTCCACTAGGCTGTAGTCCCTCCCATTTCTGTAGCTTCAGTGCCTGGCGCCCAGCAGTTGTGCCACAAACATGTGCTGAACTGAAGTTCAAGTTCACCCCACCACCCTATTCCCTTCTCTGATTTCTTAAGAGCCCTTGTGTGCTCTTTCCCTTACGCTTCCACCATACCTCTTGAACCCTGCTACTGCAGAATTTACAGGTATTGTAACTGCTTGCTTATCTATCTCCACAAAAGCCTCCAAGTTCCTTCATGCCTGGAAACATGTTTTTGTCTTGGTATTCTCAGTACTTAGCACGCTGCCTAGCACAGAGCAAACCCTTAAAAATCCTGAATAAATGTATAAACTCAGACATTACAGTTACCCTTGCCTATTTCAAAAGTCTGAAGTTCCCAGGATATCTTGGAGTCTCAGTGAGTTGCCTTTAGTTTGTGGCAAGCTGGAGAATCTATGTATCTACAGGAAAAAGAACTTGTTTTTTTTACAATAAAGTCAAAAAAGCCTTTTAAGTGTGAGTAATCTAATAAAGCAAGTTTTTCCTTATATAAAAATTAGGGGCAATCTTTGTCAGTAAAAAAAGCTTTATATTACTTTTGTATTACCAAAATAAATATTTACCAATGAAGAAAATGTAGTAGAAGACAGGTGAGCTCTGAAATGTATATCAAGCTTTCAATTTTATCCCCTCTGGTTTTCAAGTAGTAAAACAATCATGACTTTAAAAGATATATAGTAAACTAATCCATATCAACACACTAAGCTTATCATCCTTGTTCAAGTGTTATCAGTTTGCAGCTCAGCAAACTTCCTGATTTTATGGTACTGCACCAAACATTTATCTAAATTAAAGTGTATGAGATCTAAAGGTGCTTTTCAATCACAATATCCTTTATGAATTAGAGTTTCATTCATCAAAATTACAGGCAAAAAGAGGTAAGGTCTCAAAGGGCTGTCTCATTACAAGGCTTGTAAACACTGTCCTTAGGAAGAATTGGTTTAACACCCAACAAATCAAAATCTGATTGGGAAGAGAATTTATTTGAGATCATCTATCTTCAGAAGACTGTTGGACCGAGTGCACTTTTTGGCCTCTTTAGCCATTCATCAAGAAATTAACAAGCGAATACCACAAACTACCAGAACACCTTGGATCTGAAAATGTATACTATGTGTAAAGCTGGGTAGGATAGACATATATATGTGCTATGGCCTATGAAAACATTAAAATACCAAAAAATTTAAAAGTTTAAGGAGAAAAAATGCCACTGAATTATAGCTCAAGGAAGCTAAATCCAAAATCATACTTATGTTATTTTCTATATCATGTGACAACACATGAAAGCACTCTATAGACTGACTTCTGAGTAAATATATAGATATAAAGCTCTGTATATGAAAATGTTATGTAATACAGAATATTGCATTGCACAAATCTAAAGTTCCTTTTTCATAAAATTTCTATTAATAACCAAGAATCCATGTGAAAAAAGGTATATTTTAAAGGTGAAGTAACAGCAGAACTAAAATGTTTCTAGTATTGTTACTATATTCCAGTATTATTGTTACTCTTATTGCGATATTTTAAATTACCATTTTAAAGTTTTATTGTTATTTTAAATAAGCATAAGTTAAAATGCAGAAATGACAAACTGGAGACATTAGCTCCTCTTAACGATATCAAAGAATATGTCTACCTGGAATGGCCACACGGTCAAGGCAAAGCAATTAGTTCATGTGCTCTTTATGTTCTTTTCTATCGATAAAAATAAACAATTAATGTAAAGAAAAATATAGTATTTTATTTCTGTTTAAG